AGACCCGGAGAGCCTCAAGCCGCGGCTCCTGCACGCTCCACGCGCCGGGGCTGCTCCAGCTCCATCCGGTCTGGGGGGACAGAGACCCCCGGGATGGGACCACCAGGACAGTGTCCCTGTGTCCCCATATTCTCATGTCCCCCCTGTCCCCCCATCCCTGCCCTCTCCTGCCCTGCAGATCCCAGTGTCACCGTGTCCCCACATGCCCACCATTGTCTCTCGTCCTAGGAGACATGTCCCCACAGCCTGGTCCCCGAGCCCCCCATGTGCCCCAATACCCGTGTCCCTGATGTCCCCACAATGTCCCTATGTTCCCAGTGTTCCCCCACCTCCTCACATTAGGCCAATGGCCCTGAGCAGCCCCCTCTCAGTCCCGTGTCCCTTATACCCCCTTACACCCCTCCTATCCCCAAACCCCTGATACTCCCCAAGCCTCCTGGTGTCTCCCCAATGTCCCCCCTCGTGTCCTCACCTCCACAGATGAGGCTGATGGCCGTGAGCAGCCCCAGCTCAGTGTCACTGAGCTGCTGGGGCAGGAGCTGCCCTGCTGTGACCCCTATATTCCTGATATCCCATGTCCCCCCGGTGTCCCTCGTGTCCCTCCACCTCCACAGATGAGGCAGATGGCACTGAGCAGCGCAGTCTTGGTGTCATCGAGCTGCAGGGGTAGGAGCTGCCCCGCTGTGACACCCATATCCCGATACCCTCCGCGCCCCCTGTGCCCCCCTTTTCCCCCCAATGTCCCTGATGTCCCCCTACCTCCACAGAATGAGGCAGATGGCACTAAGCAGCCCCGTCTCAGTGTCGTCGAGCTGCAGGGGCAGGAGCTGCCCCGCAAAGGCGAACACCAGGTCAGTGAGGGGCCCGAACCCTGCGTTGTGCATCTGGGTCCTGGTCAGGGTGAGCCCATCCGAGAACGTCATCGTGTCCTGCTCGGGGGTGTACCGGGTACAGATCCGCAGCATCTGGGGGTCAGGGTACCCCAAAATCACCCAGGGATCCCAAACACACCACCTCCCCCAGGGTCAGCCCATCCCAGAACGTCCTCATGTCCTGCTCAGGCTGTAACGGGCAGATCTGCAGCATCTGGGGGTCATGGGGGTCAGGGAACCCCAAAATCACAAAGGGGTCACCGAAATCCCCCCACTCAGGGATCCCAAATATCCACCCAGGGACATCGAAACCCCTCAAGAGACCCCAAAATTTCCACAGGGGACCCCCAAACTCACCCAGCCCCTCTCCAGGACATCCATCTGTGGGTGGTGAGGTCAGAGCCACCATGGGACCCCCCAAGCCCCCCTGAGGTCCTCCCAAACCCCCTGAGGAACCTCCAAACACCCTCCAAGACCCCCCCAAACACCCTCCAGGACCCCACATCCCCTGATGCCCACCAGGATGTCGAGGCAGGCAGCCTTGAGCAGGGTGATCTGGTCGGCCATGCTGAGCCCTGTGAACCCCGGGAGCCGCTTCGCGAACTCCACGATCTTGATGATGCACTTGGTGGCCAGTTCACTGAACTTGTCCCACAGCCCCAGGTCCAGCTGCACACGGTGGTCTGCACTCGAGTTCTGGGGGACATAGGGGGCCAGGGACTCAGTTATGGGGGTTTAGGGTGGTTTGGGACCTGCTGAGACCCCCTGGAACCACTCAAACCCAACCTCGGCTCCCTGAACTTGTCCCCCAGCCCCTTGCCCAGCTGCACACAGTGGTCTGTGCTCAAGTTCTGGGAGGCACAGACCCAGTCAGGGTGGTTCAGGGTGGACTGGATCCTCCTCAGACCTCTAGGACCCCCTGGGATCACTGGGACCCCCCAGAGCCTCCTGGGGACCCCTCCCCAGCACCTCTCTGCCTTTGACTCCAGCTGCCCCCAGTGCTCAGATCTGGTGTTTTGGGGGGCCAGGGGGTCCAGGAACCCCTC